CCGGTTCAAACCCCGGCCAGGGGCCCTTCTGCGTGGAGTTTGCATGTTCTCTCCGTGCATGCGTGGGTTTTCTCCGGGTACTCTGGTTTCCTCAAACACAAACATGAGTCTTTGTGGATGGATGAGTATGAATGAATGAATACAGCAGCATGAAATAATCAGCAGCATGAGATCAGCAGCATGGATAATCAGCAGCACATATCAATATCAATATCCAAAAGGAAATTACAAACGTTTAAGCAAAGAGCTTTAGCTCAGTGCTCAAAGTGTGTTGAGGATTTGTGAAATTTTAGATCAACATCTATAAAATTACGAGATTATATCCATTTTTTTTTTTCAGTTTAATTGGCTGTGGTGGCCATCTTGAAATGGGTCTAATTCAAAAGCTAATGGGTTGTAGAACTACATCCAACTATTACTTTTTGAGAGTTTCATTAAGCGTTTTGTAGCGGTTCATGAGATATTTTGCTAACAGACAGACATTTGAGATTGGGGTAATCTTTCAATAACATTGTGCAGCTTTTATCTTGACTTTTTGTCACTTTCTCAGGCTCTGGGATGTTTCATTTCTCCACATCACCTCCCCTTGGTGATTTTTTTTTTTAAATCTAAAAATCTGAGTGGAGGCTGAAACAATGTTACAGAAAAGCACAACTCCTCTTGTATTTGTTTAAACTCAGGGGGGAGATGATTATGTATTATAGTGTCAAGTCTAATGCCGTCACTGAGGGAGGTGATGTGTTATTAAACTACAGCACCGTCATTTATTTAGAGCTGATTCAATCCTGGCGTTATTAGTTTGGCCCAAGGCTGCGCGTGTTAAGAGTTAATGTTGCCTCTTTGTCTTGCCAGTTTTTTATTTTTTCAATTTTCTGTCCCAGTCATTAGTTTGCTAGTGCTGCGTTTTCACCTCCTCTCTTTTCTCACCTCTTTGTGCAGCAATAAGGTGATGAAAATTTAAAAAAATTACCCGCTATGTGATGGAGCTGCAACAATTTTTTGATCGCATGCAGCAACAGGATCTACAGATTTTTCTCTCCAAAAATAACACTTTGATCCCTGAAAAAAATGGCGAGATGCTCCAAATAGCAAACGCGTATGAATCTAATTAGAAAATTCACAAACGTCCACCTGGCGCAGCATCTTTCAGTAAATCAGCCAGACTCCTGTGCTGCTGAAATCAATAATTGTTTGCCAATTGTATCAGCTCCAAGAGAGCGTCATTAAGAAAACCTCTGAGAATTCTGCAGCTTTTTTTTTTTTTTTTTTCAGATTTAACTCACAAACCCTTACATTAATCTTCTTGACTCATGAATGCGTCTAACCTGCTGAAGTAGTTTACATGTTTTGCTTCTGCTGCATCGTAGAAAAACAATCTTAAGTGCATCGATTTGTCTAAGTTTGCTCTCTCTCTCGGGGCCAAATTCAATCTGGAAGGCTGCTGCAAATCCTCCAGTTAGGGTGCCCTGTCGCTGAACAGAAGCAGGCGACGAGGAAGATCTTGACGTTCGCCTTTTTCACTCGCTTGGTGGAGCTGGAACTGAAATAAAGAAACGTGGCCACAACATTATAAAATACCCTCTTTTGATTTGTAAAATAATCAATCAATCAATCAATTTTATTTATAAAGCACCCTTCATACTAAAAGCAGTTGAAATTGCTGTACAGAATTATAAACAATAAACCCACAAGATATAAACAAACAATACACCGAAAAAGAAAAAAAAAACAATTGTATGGAAAATGTGTAGACTGAGCAGAGATGATCCAGTTCAGTAAATGCAGTTAAAACGATGGGTCTTGAGCCTGCTCTTAAAAACAACATTCTCTGTGGCCCTCAAGTTTTCTGGCAGACTATTCCACAGACGGGGGCCATAGTACTGGAAAGAAGCCTCACCATAAACATGAGTTCTGACTAGTGGAACTGTTAGTCCAGTGCCAAAGGACCTTAGGATTTGTGGGGGTTCATAAGGTAATAACAGCTCTGCAAGATAAGATGGTGCAAGACCATTGA